GTAGAGAGATCGACTGAGCTAGGCTCCTCCAGCAATAGGTGGCATGTCCAGACCTATTTACCAGTGTAAAAATCTATTTTATCTCATATTCCGTTTACCTCGACTCCTCTGTTTTTGTTTAGCTCTGTTTTGGTGATTTTTTCCTTATTTTAAGATCATGCATTGTTGAAGCAGGTGAAAGCGATGAGGCAACTACAACTTAGAAAATTGAGGCGTGTGGCAAACAAGCAAATGTGCCGCAAACCTCTGTAGCTGAATTTATGGTTTGTGTTTCGTTTGCACAATTTTTCTTTTTACCTTTAATCAAATGAGGTCTGGTATCGATTGTTTAATTTATGTTACGATTCTCGACTGGAATTTCAACTAATGAATGTAAACACTTTCATTGCAGATCTGCTTGGGGGGTCTCGTGTGCTCATCATATTAATAAGTTAACCTCATTTTACATAGTCTGGTAAAACATATTAGAATTCAGCTATGCTCTATGATTCCATGTTCTCTTCTGTATCAAAAAATGATGCTTGTTTATTTAGTACAGGTTGATACTTTTGAAATTTTCTTATTAGTTTTAAGTGTATCATGTTGTATTACTGTTATTATTAGCTGCAACAATAAAAGGTTTCTGATAGTTATGTGAGTATTAGTTTCTCTGATTTTAAGCACATTAAAAGTGACATCTTAGCTAGGTTAATCTCATTTTACACTTCTAATTCTATAATAAAATATAAAGACTTCACTAATTTGTTTAGGTATGTAGTTGTTTTCTTTATTTATTAATATGATATGACTATATATATACCTAGCCTCTTTTGTCAGTGTTGCGACTCTAATCTATAAATTCATTATTTTATTTTTCAATTTTCCATTGTTTTCTCTGGGAATCCGAGTTTCAAACATGTACATGAGTTAGGTTATCTATGTATAAGTTTGATGATATTGGTTTATAGGTGGTAATCTGGGTACATGTGGTTGCCTTGTATTATGATTTTCAGAATCGTTGCCTTTGCTTCTAGGTTTATCAATTCTGTTCTTTTTCTGTGTTGACATTTATTACAGCAATATTCATTTTTTATTAAATCGTTTCCTTCCATAATTTGGTTTTAATTTCTGATAACGGCATTATGTGCAGGCCTTTGTGTGAGCATCATTATTCAATCACTCAACAATTCGTGCGGGGGTGTTCTTCACGGGGCGCACAAAGCCGGACAAATATTTGCGGATGAAGAAGAAAATATCTGATTTAACACAGGAAAAATTTATCGTCGTCCTCATCTTCCACCTCCAATCTTTTTAAATCCCACAGTTACTTTCTCATGTTGCTTTATGCAGATAATAATTGATTTCAGTTCTTATGATTTCAGAGCGCATTTTCCGTAGGCATGATGCTCTTTTGTTTTTATTGCATGCCACACATCCAATTAAAAGCAGGCAATTAATAGCTTCAAGCAATAGGACCGTGAAAGAATGAGCCCTAAAATGGGGAAATTGACATTCATTATCAGGTTCTTTTACTATTCATTATCAGGCTTTAACCATTTGCATTTGTTTTCTTGTTGTTTGTCTTTTTTCCAAATTTGGAACTAATATTTCTATTTTGACTTTAATAGGGTCAGCTATGATGCCTCCTTAATGCATCATTCTAAACTTACATTGCCAGCTCAAGGTGATCTTACGAGGGAAAGTATTTTTAAGTGCATCGTTGATATTTCCTCGAAAGTGTTCTTCTATTTGGTTTATTGTTTGGTACAAATTGCTATAGATGGGTGGTTCTTTTGACGCTAATATGTTGGATTTTTTTTATAGGCTCCGTTGTTTCAATTCTTGATAATTTGGAACCATTGCTCCTAATCAAAACGACTGTTAGATTTCTTAGGGCCTCGTTTGGGAACATTCGATAGAGCTTCATTATATTGTCTATCATGCCTAATCATGATTGCCAAACAAGGCTTAAGAGTACAAAATCATCATTTTTGTTAATCCTTGCAGCTAAAAGAAAAGTTGGAGAAACGTCGATTAATGAAATCAGCTCGAGATCCCACGAAATTATTACATTGGTATATTGTGATTTTATTTAATTTATTGTTTATTTATTCGATAACTTTTGTCGCAGACTATTGAAAGCTGTTCTCGTGACTTTTTTGGAAGGGACAATGCGAGCACTCTTACAGCTGCTGTGGTGTGAAATTTATCTAACAACAAAAAAATAAAGGTATAGCATTATTTAATGTTTTCTAATGGGAGAGTAATTTTATTGACAGAATTTTGTCGATTTGGCTGCAAGTGAACGAGCATCTTAATCGTTATCAGCAGGCACAAGGTTAAAAGAAGGCTGTCGTATTAACCGAATAGAATATTCTGTTTATTTGTTATATGTTGATTGGGAAGAAGATTATTTCTTAGGCTGCAACTTTGCTGAAATGTGTTGTCCATTATTTATAGGTATTGATATCCTCAATCAAAAACATAGTGTTGAAGAACTAAAAACAATTTATTTTCTCTCTGTTTTCGACAATATAATTTTTGCAGTGAAAAATCAATATTTGCATACTATAATTTCTGTTTCGTAAATCGTATTACTCTAAAAACAGTTGGGACTGTGCTATTTATGCTCACTGTTACGCGCAGCTTTCCGATTGTCGACTTCGGCAATGCTTCGATTGCTTCTTCGGGTTTCGGAAATTTGTTCTGATGAATGATGATGTTAGGAGTTTATATATTGGGACGCGTTTGTTTGTTTTTAATTTTTGTATATACTGATGTGTGTCGATCGTTCCGTGTAGGTGGATTTGGTCATAGAGACTGACAAGAAATGCGAAGAACTCATTTTCGATTTTCTCAAACTACAGTTTTGGATTTCTCGGTACCGTTTTTATTTTTATTACGACTTTTTTCTGACAACATAAAATACGAAAAGGAAAAACAAAAAAAAAATTAAAAATTGGAGTCTGTAATTATTTTGGATTTTAGGTGGACAGATTAATAAAAATTGGCGTACTTTTGCATTAGCCCTTTGGAAATAGCGGACTCGCCCCTAACCCGGCTTTTGAGATCCTACACCGGGTGAAATACACCGGGTAGATCTTTACCATTCATATACACACAAACCCACATTGGTATGTGTAGATCAACGGTAAAGATTCACCCGGTGTAACCTTCACCGGGTGTAGGATAGATAAAACCCCCCTAACACTACGTACAATAATACTCAGATAAATAATAGTGAATAATTTAACAGCTAAATTTTTATGTAAAATTTATGTAATTCGGTTATTTACCGAACCAAATCGTATATTTTGTTCGGTAAACGGTATGAAATGTTGGCGTACAAAAATTTTGGTCCGGTTTTACCGAATTAACATTCTTAAATTTACCTATGAAGGGGTCTTTTCGTAAGATAAATACATAGTTGAGGGGTGGCTGTAATTACCAAACAGGAGGGGGGTTTTCGTCAAATGTTAGGGCTGATTCAAGAATTAAAGGAAAATGTAACGAAACAATGGGTGCAACAATCAATATTTCAGAAATTACTGGTGGTAATATAATAATAAAAACTGCTTTTCAGGGGTGGAACTATAACTACTCAAAAATATTAGGGCTAATTTTGTCATTAAAGGAAAATGGGAGGAAAAAATGGGTGCTTAGAGCAATATCTAAAAAATTGACATGTGTATAATATAATAATAGGAATGCCTTGGAAGGGTTGGTAATATAATTATCAGGAAAAAGTGGGTGCAGCAATCGGTATTTAAAAATTACTGTAGGATAATATAATAATAAAAATGTTTTATCAGGAGTTGAAATGAACTTACCCAAAAATGTTATGGATTATTTTATAATTAAAGGAAAAACGGAGGAAATAATTTGTGCAGAAAACAATATTTTGTTTATGGACCAAAATAAAAAATGGGATATAATATAGGGACCAAAATAGTAATTATAAATAATATAATAAATTATTGTTTTCTTAAATCGTAAATCGTAAAATTTGATCGTTTTGTCGATATTTAAGATTTATTTTAACATTTGAATCGACTTAAGTATGAATAATTGAATCGTAAGATTTGAATCGTAAATCCTAAGATTTTAAACTCGGTATTGCGAATTTTCGTAAATGAGTCACACGCGATTATAGTTGAGGAGTCGAAGCATACTGCCTTGGTGGCAAATATTTCGGATATTGCAAGAGAGATCCACTTTGGTGTTAAATTTGCTATTTGGGTACTGGGAAAATGGAATTGGTATGGCGGTGATTCTGCAATTTTCAAAACTGTTTCAGTCAAGGAAGTGGATTTCCATAAATTACAAATTGACCCCCTCTTGGGGTGCATTTCTTGTTTAAGGACAAAAATAAAAAAAACAAAAAAACCAAAAAAAAAAAAACAATGTAGGTAATATAGGGACCAAAAATCGTAAACTTTGATCGATTAGCTGATATTTAAGATTTATTTTAACATTTGAATTGACTTAGATATGAATGAATTGAATCGTAAGATTTGAATCATAAATCATAAGATTTTATGCTCGATATTGTGAATTTTCGTAAATGTGGCGGATATTGAAATAGAGATCCACTTTGGGGTCAAATTTGCAATTTGGGTTGAGCGGCTAGGAAGATGGAGTAAGTATAGGGGTGATTCTACAATTTTCAAAGCTATTTCAGCCAGGGAGGTGGATTTTCAAATATACAAATTGACCTCCACTTGGGGGCATTTCCGGTTGAAGGACCTAAATTAAAATTTTGTATATAAATAGGGATCAAATATGTAACTATTGCAAGTTTATTATAAATAATATAATAAATTAAAGTTTTATTAAATTGTAATTCGTAAAATTTGATCATTTTGTTGATATTTAAAATTTATTTAACTTTTGAATCGACGTAAGTATGAACAGACTGAATCGTAAATCATAAGATTTTAAACTCGATATTGCGAATTTTCATAAATGAGTCACACACGATTATAATTGAGGAGGAGTCGAAGCATTCTGCGTTGGTGGCGGATATTGCAAGAGATATCCAATTTGGGGTCAAATTTGCAATTTGGGTAGTGCAGCTGGGAAGATGGAGTAAGTATGTGAGTGATTCTGGAAATTTCAAAATTGTTTTAGCCAGGGAGATGGACTTCCAAAAATTACATGACCCCCACTTGGGGTTCATTTTTGGTTTAAGGATCAAAATTATATAAAAACAAATGTATAATAATATAGGGACCAAAAATCGTAAAATTTGATCAATTTGTTGATAGTTAAGATTTATTTGAACATTTGAATTGACATAGATATGAATGAATTGAATCGTAAGATTTGAATCGTAAATCATAAGATTGTATGCTCGTTATTGCGAATTTAGTAAATGTGGCGAATATTTTGGATAGTGAAAGAGAGATCCACTCTTTGGACTCAAATAAGCAATTTGGGTGTAGCGGTTAGCAAGATGGAGTATGTATAGGGTTGATTCTGCAATCTTCACAACTATTTCAGCATGGGATGTGGATTTTCGGAAATTACAAATTAACCTCCACTTGGGGGCATTTTGGGTTTAAGGACAAAAATTATAAATGGTATATAATATAGGGATCAAACCTGTCATCATCACAAGTTTATTAAAATTAATATAATAAATTAAAGTTTTCTTATATCTTAAATTGTAATTTGATCGTTTTGTTGATATTTAAGATTTATTTTAACATCTTCCTAACCGCTACACCCAAATTGCATATTTGACTCCAAAGAGTGGATCTCTCTTTCACTATCCAAAATATCTGTCACATCTACTAAAATTCGCAATAACGAGCATACAATCTTATGATTTACGATTCAAATCTTACGATTCAATTCATTCATATCTATGTTGATTCAAATGTTCAAATAAATCTTATCTATCAACAAATTGATCAAATTTTACAATTTTTGGTCCCTATATTATTATACCTTTTTTTTTTTTTTTCTTTATTATTTATTTATTTTGATCCTTAAACCAAAAATGAACTCCAAGTGGGGGTCAATTTGTAATTTTTGGAAGTCCACCTCCTGGGCTGAAACAATTTTGAAAATTGCGGAATCACTTATATACTTACTCCATCTTCCCAGCCGCACTACCCAAATTGCAAATTTAACCCTAAATTGGATCTCTCTTACAATACCCGCCACCAACGCAGTATGCTTCGACCCTTCTCAGTTATAATCGTGTGTGACTCATTTACAAAAATTCGCAATACCGAGTTTAAAATCTTATGATTTGCGATTCAAATCTTACGATTCAGTCTGTTCATACTTAAGTCGATTCAAAAGTTAAAATAAATTTTAAATATCAACAAAACGATCAGATTTTACGAATTACAATTTAAGAAAATTTTAATTTATTATATTATTTCTAATAAACTTGCGATAATTACATGTTTGATCCCTATATTATATACCATTTATACTTTTGGTCGTTAAACCGGAAATGCCTCCCAAGTGGAGGTTAATTTGTAATTTCCGAAAATCTACCTCCCTAGCTGAAATAGTTGTGAAGATTGCAGAATCAACCCTATACTTACTCCATCTTCCTAACCGCTACACCCAAATTGCATATTTGACTCCAAAAAGTGGATCTCTCTTTCACTATCCAAAATATCCGTCACATCTACTAAAATTCGCAATAACGAGCATACAATCTTATGATTTACGATTCAAATCTTAAGATTCAATTAATTCATATCTATGTTTCCTTAAACAAGAAATGCACCCCAAGTGGGGGTCAATTTGTAATTTCTGGAAATCCACTTCCTTGACTGAAACGGTTTTGGAAATTGGAGAATCACCGCTATACTTATTCCATTTTCCCAGTCGTTTCACCCAAATAGAAAATTTAACACCAAAGTGGATCTCTCTTGCAATATCCAAAATATCTGCCACCAACGCAGTATGCTTCGACTCCTCAACTATAATCGCGGGTGACTCATTTACGAAAATTCGCAATACCGAGTTTAAAATCTTATGATTTACGATTCAAATCTTGCGATTCAATTATTCATACTTAAGCACTTAAACCGATTCAAATGTTAAACTAAATCTTAAATATCAACGTAACGATCAAATTTTACGATTTCCGATTTAAGGAAACAATAATTTATTATATTATTTATAATTAACGTGTTATAATTACTATTTTGGTCCCTATATTATATCTCATTTTTTTTTTGGTCCTAAAATCGAAAATGCCCCCAAGTGGAGGTTAATTGGTACTTTCCGAAAATCCACTTCTCTGGGCGAAACATTTTTTAAAATTCCAGAATCACCCGTATACTTACTCCATCTTCCCAGCCTCTCCACACAAATTGTATATTTAACCCCAAAGTGGATCTCTCTTGCAATATCTTAAATATCCGCCACCAACGCAGTATGTTTCAAGTCCTCCTCAGCTATAATCGCGTGTGACTCATTTACGAAAATTCGCATTACCGAGTTTAGAATCTTATGATTTACGATTCAAATCTTACGATTCAATTTATTCATACCTAAGTCGATTAAAATATTAAAATAAATCCTAAATATCGACAAAACGATCAAATTGTACAATTTGCAATTGAAGAAAACTTTAATTTATTATAGTATTTATAATAAACATGTTATAATTACAGATTTGATCCATATATTATATACCATTTTTAATATCGGTCTTTCAACCGGAAATGCCCCCAATTGTGGAGGTCAATTTGTAATTTCCGAAAATCCACCTCCCTCGCTGAAATAGTTGTGAAGATTGCACAATCAACCCTATACTTACTCTGGCCATCTCCCTAGCTGCTCCACCCAAATTGCAAATTTGACCCCAAAGAGTGGATC